CACAAAGACACAGAGTGGTGAAGGGTATAAATATTAAAAAATAAGTTGAAAAACATTTCTTTACACAATAAAAATTCTTTTAGAATGAGGTCATATTGACCGATTTTAGGCAATATAGGTATATAAATGCCAGCACCTTTGAACACTTTTTGCTTTCAAGCCTTATAAAATTTTTTATTTTATCATTTTTGGTTTCTTATAAATTTTAACTAATAGGTACATATGTAACCTTTAAAATGAATATACATATGACATACTATAAGCTTGATAAATATATTTTATAACTGTTTTAATGGACGAACTCAAAGTGTTCAAAACTGCCCCTCCAGGGGGGCACCTTTGAACAGGGGTTGGCATTTTTGAACGACATGGTTTTTTACAGTGTTTATGTTCAAATATGTATGTATTTTATTCATACATATCAGAAATGCATTAATTCATTAAAAAATATATAAAAAATATTCAAAATTTAAAAAATTTAGATCAAAAATTATTAAAACATAAAATGTCTTAAAAATACAAATTAATATGGTGAAAAATACAGTTAATTTCGTAATCTTATTAGCCCATTTGAAATTTTGAGAAATCCAAGCCAAAGGTTAAAAACTCCTTTTTTTACTCGAGTTTAATGGGCATGTTCAAAGGTGCCCCACCCATGGCATTTTACGGAAATTTAAAATAACTTTTTTTGTAATAAATATATATGAAAGAAATTACATTAGTTATGTTTGAAATGATTGTTGGAATGCAAAAAATTTGTTTGACGAAAGAAAACTATCACAGAATTCTTCCTGCGCCCTTACAACCAAATGAATAAAAGTTTACAATGACACTGAGAAAACATGGTCACCCATGCACAATTTTTCGACAACTGAAAAAGCAAGCCAAAGTGGTTTACGCATATAGAGAACAAAATTGCCATATACAAAAATGTGGTTGCGGGTCGGAAAAATATTAAACCAAGATTTTATGAGCGCTGTTCAAAGGTGCCCCACGTTCAAAGGTGCCCCCCTCTCCCCTATATTGAAACGACGGTTTCCAGAAGTCCCGAAAAAGTTTCCGTTCTTTTTTTAATATCTCTTTACAGACCTATTTCGGCGGTCTGTTGATTGATCTTATATACGATATTTTTTTTTTCAAATAACATAAAGAATGAATAGGTGCCTCTGGTCGCCATTTAACTTAATTATAATTTGCCCTTACCAAAATAATAATAGTAAACTCACCTTTGTTTGTCTCCAACTTCTTTGGCTCATCTCTTCACCGCCACTGGTGATGCTTGTATCATTCGTTTTCGTGCTACTACGTCCTCGTTTCTTACGCTTCTGCTTTGTGTGATTGTAAATTGTCTCAGCATCACTAAAAATATTAAAACATTTTAAAATATACCTAATTAAAAGATCACAATATATACCTACTTAGCCAAATATCGTACACCCAAGCGAGGCAATTCAGCTTGCTTCTTATTGAAGAATGCCACTTCCATACGTCTTAAATATGCTGCCCATACCTGCAGGGCCATAAGTTTGAGTTCCTCTTTGGCGCCATAGGAAAGTAGCTCTTCTACATAGCCGCGTAATATATAATTATAACATTCCCAGGATGTTAGTTGAGCTAAATCCGAAAAGAAATTTATTATAGAGGATTATATTTAATTTTTAATAAGATTTTTAGAGTAACCTACGTTTCTCCGCCTTCACCACATTTATTTTCAATGTTTTGGTGTGTTTTGTTGTTGTCGTCTCATTGAAATTATCATCCTCATTTTCCACTTCGACTTGTCGCACTTGTTCCTGTTTGGTACCACACTCCCGACAATAGTAGAATCCTTCACGTTGTTCGAAATCATTTTCCCCACAAACGGTACAAAATATATTCGTAAATTTTTTCGGAACGGAAAAATTGAAAAATTTTTTTCAGGTTGTGCATAATACTAATAAAAGAGTAAAATGATTGACTGACTGATTTACTTAACGATTCATCAACGCCCAGACGAAACGTCTGAAGCTAGAATCTTGAAATTTTGGGTGAGGGTCATACTTGGTCCAAAAGTGACAGATAAGGCTGGTTTTTTGGAAATTTGTACTAGAACGGTACGAAAAGTACTAAATGTGAAACAATTTGTATTCGGCAAAGTTCTGAAAGTAAAGCTAGAACTCTGAAATTTTAAATGAGGGTCACTGATGGAGTGTAGAATAGATATAGCAAAGAGTTTTTTGGACATTCGAACTGTAAGTATGCGAAAAGTACTAAAATGTACTGAATTTGGTACAATTTCGTAGCATGTGAGTGGATAGAGCAAAAAAGAAATTTGGAATGCGAATTAGGGTTGAGATGTAGAGTATATTTATGGAGATTGTTTTGAAAGCGTGTACGCATGTGTACGAAAAGTACTATATTTGGTACAAATTTAATTCGGAGGTACAAATCGAGCTCGAATCCTGAAATTTGAAATTAACATTACCGTCTGAGTGTAGGATTGGGATATGTACGTAGTTTTGGAAATTTTTTTACTTATGTGTACGAAAAGTACTAAATCGATCTATAATTGGTACAACTTGGATTTGGGTAAACCGATAGAGCTGGGTTCCAGTAATTTGGAGTTATTATCATTGTTGGGGTGTAGAATTGGGGTATGTAGAGAATTTTGATAAATCCTACCAATGTGTACTATATGGTACGAAATTTTGATTTTAGTAAACCGATAAAGCTGGAATCTTGACATTCGGAGTTAGGACCACTGTTGAGGGAAGAATTGAACTACTTAGGAAATTTTGGAAATTCCTACTAATGTGAAATAAATTTTGTACAATTTTAACTTATATGGGGACTACCACTAAAAGGGACCGAATTTTAATAATTTTTGGTAGGGATTAAGGATTAATTTTATTTTAAGAGTCATTGATCCCGGATTAAGAGTCATTTATCCCAGATTAAGGCTTAATATGGATTAAGGGGCATTGACCCCGGATTAAGATTTAATCCGGATTAAGATTCATTTATCTCGGATTAAGAGTCATTGACCCCGGATTAAGCCTTAATCCGGATTATGGCTTAATCTGGATTATGGCTTAATCCGGATTAAGAGTTATTGACCCCGGATTAAGGCTTAATCCGGATTAAGGGTCATTGAACCCTGATTAAGGCTTAACATGGATTAAGGTTTAATCCGGATTAAGATTCATTTATCTCGGATTAAGAGCCATTGATCCCGGATTAAGGCTTAATCCGGATTAAGGGCCATTAAGGCTAAATCCGGATTAAGGGTCATTGAAGCCTGATTAAGGCTTAATATGGATTAAGGTTTAATCCAGATTAAGATTCATTTATCTCGTATTAAGAGTCATTGATCCCGGATTAAGGCTTAATCCGGATTAAGAGCCATTAAGCCTAAATCCGAATTAAGAGTCATTGACCCCGGATTAAGCCTTAATCCGGATTAAGTGTCATTGACCCCGGATTAAGCCATAATTCAGGTTAATGGTCATTGAACCCTGATTAAGGCTTAATTTGGATTAAGGTTTATTGACCCCGGATTAAGGTTTAATCCGGATTAAGAGTCGTTTAATCTGGATTAAAGAGTCATTTATCCCGTTTTAAGGATTAATCCGGATTAAGGGCCATTGACCCCGGATTAAGAGTCATTTATCCCGGATAAGGGCTTAATCCGGATTAAGGGTAATTGGCCCCGGATTAAGGCTTAATCCGGATTAAGAGTCATTGACCCCGGATTAAGGCTTAATCCGCATTAAGGGTCATTGGCCCCGGATTAAGGCTTAATATGGATTAAGGTTCATTGACCCCGGATTAAGGTTTAATCCGGATTAAGCGTCGTTTTCCCGGATTAAAGAGTCATTTATCCCGTTTTAAGGCTTAATCCGGATTAAGGGCAATTGACCCCGGATTAAGGGGCATCGACCCCGGATTAAGGTTCATTGAACCCATATTAAGGCTTAATATGATTAAGGGTCATTGACCCCGGATTAAGAGTCATTTATCCCGAATTAAGAGTCATTTATCCCGGATTAAGAGTCATTTATCCCCGATAAGGGCTTAATCCGGATTTAGGGTCATTGACCCCGGATTAAGGCTTAATCCGGATTAAGGGTCATTGAACCCTGATTAAGGCTTAATATGGATTAAGGTTTAATCCGGATTAAGAGACACTTATCCCGGATAAAGGCTTAATCCGGATTAAGGTTAATTGACCCCGGATTAAGGCTTAAACCGGATTAAGAGTCATTGACCCCGGATTAAGAGTCATAGACCCCGGATTAAGGCTTAATCCGGATTAAGAGTAATTGACCCCGGATTAAGGCTTAATCCGGAGTAAGGGTCATTGAACCCTGATTAAGGCTTAATATGGATTAAGGTTCATTGACCCCGGATTAAGGTTTAATCCGGATGAAGCGTCGTTTTCCCGGATTAAAGAGTAATTTATCCCGTTTTAAGGCTTAATCCGGATTAAGGGCCATTGACGCCGGATTAAGGGGCATCGGCCCCGGATTAAGGCTTAATCGGGATTAAGGTTCATTGAACCCATATTAAGGCTTAATATGATTAAGGGTCATTGACCCCGGATTACGAGTCATTTCTTCCGAATTAGGAGTCATTTATCCCGAATTAAGAGTCATTTATCCCGAATTAAGAGTCATTTATCGCGGATTAAGAGTCATTTATCCCCGATAAGGGCTTAATCCGGATTAAGGGTCATTGACCCCGGATTAAGCCTTAATCCGGATTAATGGTCATTGAGCCCGGGTTAAGGGTCACTGACCCCCGATTACGGCCATATTTAATTACACACTACTCCTAAATAGTTCAACTGCGAATCGGAACGATTCGATGTGATTCTCAGCCATATTTAATTACACACTACACCCAAATAGTTCAACTGCGAATCGGAACGATTCGATGTGATTCTCAGCGAACATTGCTGGAGTGAAATGCATATTTCCTACATTGTAATAAATTAAATCGATAATGCCGTATAAAATCTTAATATATAAATGAGGTTAGTGATAAGTGAGTGAGTGAAGCTAGAAGGTTGAAATTATGACTGTAGGTTGTTGTTGATGTGTAGGCGTGGGTTTTGGAAATATGAACTTTAACGGTACGAAAAGTATAGTCTCGTCCAATTTTAGGTAAATAGTGCACCAAAGACCAAAATTTAAGCCGATTGGTTTTATATAGGGACAATGCCCAAAAGCTGGCCGATATAGTCATTCTCGAACAAAGGACGAATGATTACAACAGATGGATGAATCGATTAAATCACCTTACAATTCCATACTATGTAGGGTATAAACGGAAAATTGCGAGTAAAGCATATCCCCCTACTATGGTGGAATACGGGTATATGGAGTTAACCCCAAAAACCGGAACAAATCAGTTAACTATTTTAATATAAACCAGTAAGGAAAGTAGTAAAGACGGACGAGGCCGACTATATGATATCCTTTACTACTTTGGGTATATTTAACAGATGAATCCTAACAGACTTCGCATTTTTAAAGGACTATTGAACCCTGACCCCGGTCATAGGCATCGGATTAAGGCTTAATCCGGATTAAGGGTCATTGAACCCTGACTAAGGCTTAATATGGATTAAGGGACATTGACCCCGGATAAAGGTTTAATCCGGATTAAGATTCATTTATCTCGGATTAAGAGTCATTGACCCCGGATTTAGCCTTAATCCGGATTATGGCTAAATCCGGATTAAGGCTTAATCCGGATTAAGGCTTAATGCAGATTAAGGGTCATTGACCCCGATTTAAGCCTCAATCCGGATTAATGGCCATTGAACCCTGATTAGGGCTTAATATGGATTAAGGTTTATTGACCCCGGATTAAGGGCCATTGACCCCGGATTAAGGCTTAATATGGATTAAGGGTCATTGACCCCGTATTAAGGCTTAATCCGGATTAAGGGTCATTGAACCCCGATTAAGGCTTAATATGGATTGAGGGTCATTGACCCCGGATTAAGGCCTAAACCGGATTAGGAGCCATTTATCTCGGATTAAGAGTAATTGATCCCGGATTAAGTCTTAATCCGGATTAAGAGTCATTGACCTCGGATTAAGACTTAATCCGGATTATGGTTTAATCCGGATTAAGAGTCATTGACCCCGGATTAAGGCTTAATCCGGATTAAGGGTCATTGACCCCGGATTAAGCCTTAATCCGGATTAATGGTCATTGAACCATGATTAAGGCTTAATATGGATTAAGGTTCATTGACCTCGGATTAAGGTTTAATCCCGATTAAGAGTCGTTTATTCCGGATTAAAGGCTTAATTAAGGGGCATCGACCCCGGATTAAGGCTTAATCCCCCCAAAACCGGAACAAATCAGTTAACTAATTTAATATAAACCAGTAAGGAAAGTAGTAAAGTCGGACGAGGCTGACTATATGATACCCTTCACTACCAGAAAAAGTGGACCTATATTTATAATTTTTAGTGGGGAAATTTTGTACCCAGTAAGAACCTAATGTTTAAAACCGCGCTCAAGAACCCCAAAATACCGAAATTTGGGGGTACCCTTATATGGGGGCTACTCGAAAAAACTGACCTATATTTACAATTTTTAGTATAGAGATTTGCTACCCAATAAGAACTCAAAGTACAGAATTTCAGCGAATTCGGTCGAAAAATGCGATCAAACCTCCTAAAATACCGCAAAATTGGGGGTACCTTATATGGGGGCTATCCGAAAATATGGACCCATAATTATACTTTTTAAGGGAGAGATTTGCTACCCAATAAGAACTCAATGTACTAAATTTCAGCGAATTAAGTTGAAAAACGCGCTCAAGAACCTCAAAATACCGAAAATTGGGGGTACCCTTAATGGGAGCTATGACTAA